TCTGCGCTCCTGGTGGAGGGACGCCCGCCGGCGAGGCACCTACTGGTCACGTCTCTTCTGATCTCGAGGCAACGCCGGTGCCAGGGCTGTAGCGAGAGGGTGACCTCCATCCGGGCGTTTTCTTGTTCTTACGTATTTTTATTGATGTCAGAGCGGAAGGGGGAGGGGGAGAGAGAGAGAGTCATGGACGGGCCGCCTCCTGCAGCCCCCACCGGGGATGGAGCCCGCAGCCCGGCCCGTGCCCTGCCCCGGAATCCAACCCTGACCTCCCGGTTCCTCGGTCGGTGCTCAGCCAGCGGCCACGCCTCGGGCTCAAGGGGTTTTTTCGAATGTGCTCGGGGTGGTTGAGTGACGATTCCCCGGAGACGTGACCTTGCTCGGTCCTCAGCTCCGCCCCGTGTCCCCCCAGGAGACGGAGGTGAGTCGGAGGAAGAGCTCAGCGCCGTGACCGAGGAGAGCCCGGTGCTGACCCACTGGGCCCCCGCCTCCAAGTTCTACCCCGGCCACACCAAGATGGACGCAATCAGGAGAGGGATCGCCAAGGACAGCCAGCGCCACAGGGTCCACCTCGATGCCCAGGGCCCGGTCACCCAGAACTTCTCCTCCGAGAGCAAGCCGCACAGGGAATACGTGAGCGCCGCCTCCTCCCGAGGGTCGGGTCAAACTCCGGGCGCCCAGGCCTCTGGGCTGGAGAAAGGCTCGCAGAGCCCGGCTCTTCCTGTGCACCCGGCCTCTGGGTGTCCCGGTGACTCCCCGGAGCCGAGCCTCGTCTAGGGACACGAGAGGGGGGGCCGGTGTCCCCGTGGGCGCCGTGATGGCTGAGTCAGGCCGCAGACACTGCAGGTCCCCCCGGGATGCCCGGCAGTGGGACCTCATAGTAACCCGTCCACGCCCCCCAGGGGCCCTGCCTCCGGGAGATGAAGGACATGCTGATCCTACTCAGGTCCGTGAGCACATTGAGCCCCCGGGGCGTCCAGCTCCCCAACTGCGACAAGAAGGGCTTCTACAAGAAGAAGCAGGTGAGCCCTCCGTCCCCCCACTCGGGGAGCCGCAGCTGGGCCTCTCCTCCTGCCCCTCCCCGCCCCCCCCTGCCCTGCTCCCCTTTAACCACGAAGGGACCCAGGCGCAACAGCACCTTCCCGCTGTCCAGGGTGGGACAGCCTGGTCCCCACGGGGCCTGGGAGCCCCTGGGGGTCACATCGCCTTCTCTGCTCCGCCCACAGTGCCGCCCGGCCAAGGGCAGGAAGCGCGGCTTGTGCTGGTGCGTGGACAAGTACGGGCTGCCCCTCCCCGGCCACGACCCCTCCGGCAAACCGGACGTGCACTGTGACAGTGTGGAGAGCCAGTGACCTGGCGGTAAGCCTGGGGCGGGGCTGGGGGCGGGTCAGGTGGAGGACAGACCTGGGACACTCCCTGAGGAAGGAGGGGGACCTGCCCCCCCAGCCGCACAGGCAGAGGCTCTGGGCCCCCGCGTCTCAGACGCTGATCTTTCTTACAAAGAGCCAAGGATCTGAGCACACGGGTCAGTCTCAGAGGCGGTCCCTGTAAGCCTGACGGGGCCCTTATCTTCCCAGTAAACTCTCTAACTTCAAAAGAACCTGTTTCTAAAATATATTTTTTTATTGATGTCAGAGAGGAAGGGAGAGGGAGAGAGAGAGAGAAACATCAGTGATGAGGGAGAACCATTTATCGGCTGCCTCCTGCACGCCCCCCACTGGGGATGGAGCCTGCAACCTGGGCCTGGGCCCTGACCGGCAATCGAACCCTGACCTCCCAGTTCATAGGTCACTGCTCAACCACTGAGCCACACCAGCTGAGCAAGGACCTGTTTCTAAATTAAAGACGTGTCTGTTTGTGCTTTTTTCCCCCTGTAAAATACATTATGGATATTCTGTGGTTAATAGAATTTTAATAAAGTTTATTAAATCTAATTCAAACAATGACTTTTAAACCATCACTTTGAAGAATGCTATCGCATCCAATATTCTCTTTGACTAAATGAGAGAGTTATTGGTGGAAAAAAGGAATAAATATGTTTCCTTTCGTCTCCTCAAGACAAATTTAAGTCAACAGAAGAAAATTTTCATGTTTAGGTGTTTTCTTTCCTTGCAAGTTGGAAAAGGCAATTCTAATTTCGGGGGTGACTATGGAAGAACATAGCAAGCAGCCCAGCCAGCGTGGCCCAGTGGTTGAGCATCGACCTATGAACCAGGAGGTCACGGTTCGATTCCCGGTCAGGGCACAGGCCCCGGTTGTGGGCTTGATCCCCAGTGTGGGGTGTGCAGGAGGCAGCCTTCCATGATCCTCTCTCATCATGGATGTTTCTCTCTCTCCCTCTCCCTTCCTCTCTGAAGTCAATAAAAATATTTTTTTTTTTAATTGCTAGCATCCTGCAGGCCCTTTGCTCTCTGAACAGCGTGGCCTGCCTGGTGCCTCGCCTGGTGCCCGGGGAGGGAGTGGAGGCTGACGCCGGAGGAGCTAACCAGCACGTTCCTTTCTCTGTTTCAGTTCAGAGGAACTCAGATACCGGTTCTGCACCAAAGACTGCCAAGGCGGTGATCAGCGTTGGCTGCAGCCTCGATTATATATCTTTCTCTGGTGAATCCATTTCTTTCTTAAATCCGCGTGTAGGAAGAGACCTCTGCAATGCCTGGGCTTCTAAACAGTGCGCTCGAGCGGCTTCCCGCGCCCCAGCAGCCAGGGAAACCGTGTGGTTTTCCTCGTCGCTCCTTTCGAACCTCCTTCTGAACTCAAGCACAGGCCGGGCCTCGGGCCACCCTGGGGACCTCACACCCTAGCACCCCTGCCACTTGGGCCTCCCGGGAACGCCAACCTCTGCCCTGGGGTGTCTGGACACACCTGCCTGGCGCCGAGGCCTGCGCCCCTCCACCCAGTAGCGAGCTCCTGCCCTCGGGTGACCGACCCGTCCTGCCTGGGGACAAGTGGAGACCATGAGGTGGAGTCTTGCTTTTTTTTTTTTTAAATGACCAAGAAGGTGCTCAGACCCTGGGCATCTGGAGAAGTGGTGGCTCAGGCAGGCTCTCGGGGACACGGCCTTTGCTGTGGCCCCACAGGGTGGGGACGGGGGGTGAGGGGGGGGACAAGGCCACACCTTTGTCTTCAGAGCCCCCCCAAACAGCGGCACGATGCTCAGATGGCGGCAGAAAGGGGTGTTCTCCACTCACAACTCCAAGACCAAGGTAGTTTTTGAGGCTACGTCCTCAGAGGCAAAGGAGGTTCTGTCCACCCCTCACCATGTGTCCTCTTTGTCACACTGTCACACATGTGAGTAGCCATGTATCTAACCAGAGGGGCCTTGGGGATCCCAGAATCGCGCCCTCCTTCTGACTCACCTATTCACAGAGAAATGCCTTCGTGAACTGTCACCGTTGCCTGCATCGTGGTCCAAATGTAATAGGACCTGTGCGCATAGTCTTAGATGCCCCGTCGGCCACGTGGCCGCACGCCGCCCTCGGCAGGACCAGAGGTTCCCCAGACACTGCCTACCTATTCGCTTTCCTTTTTTAATCAAGTTTTCAGGAAAAAAAAAAACAAAAACAGTATTTTTGAGAAATTTGTCTCACCATGTATTTATAATGGGTTAATAAAGATTTTACCCTGAAAAAACGCTCGCCGGTGTCAGCGGCCACCCAGTTTGGAGGGTCCGGCGTCCTAATCGGAGTTTCCCAGTGAGCTCGGGTGGGTCCTGGCCGGGCAGCTCAGCAGGTGCCCCCCGGCCCTCGCTGCCCGTAGGTTTTGTCCCCATCATCCCGTCTGTCCCCGCTCAGACCGGCGCAGGGGACACGTCTGGGCTGGGAAGGGACAGGCAGGAGGAGGGAGACCGGGACACGCTGGGGGGGGCTCTGACCCCGTGACTGTGGCGTCGCAGGACGCGCTGGTTTCTAGGAATCCCGAGTGTGGACCTAAGTCCGTCCTCATCCACGTT